AGGGTGTTAGCACTTCAGTTAAGTTGGATGATTAATGTCCTTCATTACTTTATGGAATCGTGTCCGCAATGGTTGGTCATTGTAATGTGGATTCCTCCTAACATGACAATGATCAGTGATCAAAGAGCATATAAGATAATGGCTCACTTGCATCTTGTGTAGTCAGCCTCCAATTGTACAGCAATAACTGGTCCACAAGATAAGGCACACAGAATATGGTAGTTTGCCCAACCCCCCATCTGGGACTTTTTTCTTGTAACTACCCCATGGCTCCCTGCCACTCCTGAGGAAATTGCTTGAGTAGCCTTCACTGCCATACAAACAAGTCATGAGTCAAAGATAAAGGCACTTTATTACAAAACAGTAGAGAGAAGAATGGAAATGGTTTTTGAATCATCAGTGCAATCCCTTCTGGTTGTGCAAGTGTCCCCCTCAAAACTGCTGCTGACTCCAGACCTAGTAGTTGATAACCAGGGCCTCTAGGTTCCAGCATCTATAAAGATGTTGGTTGAGAGGAGGGATGGAACAGGTAAATGCACCTCCATTCTTCTGTGTCCCATCCTGGAGGTCATTCAAGGTTGCCTTGGACCTTTCACCCACTTGGAGTTGTGGGCTCTTCCTCTATTACTAGTGTCAGGGTCTGGAGTCCTGGGGGTCAGCATGGGGATGGGGGAGAGGAGGAAGAAGGTGAAACTGGACCTGTGGTGTGGCATTCTTGAGCAATGCATTTTAATCAGTTCATTGCCATCTTCTTGGATACTTGTGACAGTGATTGGCTTCCCATTAAGCTAGAGACAGGTCTGTGGCTATCTTGATTGCATCCAAGTCAAGCTGCTCCAAGTAGGGGTAGTGGCCAGTCAGGTGCATCATCAGACATTGTCTGAAATTCTAGGGCAGGGCCCTACATTCTACAAAGCCATCGTAGCATGGCCTCCCTTTCTATGAGTCAGGAGTTATTATAAGAAGTGGTGGTCCCAGATTAGATTACAGCAAAGACCACTGGGTTGCCTCATGCAGCCAACAGCTCTTGCCTCCACAATGAGGTCAACTGGATTAGGGTTGCATCGGCCAAGGCAAAGGTATCCAGTAGTTACAGGCAAGGCCTGTTAGGTATTATACCAGCAACTAATATTTACAACCATCTTTAAGAGCACAACATACGCTGCCAATACCACCATGCTCCCCCTACCCCAAGTAGTTAGTTCAGTCTCAGAAGGTCTGTGGAACTCTGGGCCTAATTGCCTTTGCTGTAACCAAGCAATGTAGGGCTGTGCCTGCCTAGAGAGATCCCCCCTCACCTCGGTTTTCCCAAGTGCTAAGGGAGTGGAAGGGAAAGCAGACTTACCATTTTGAAAGACAGCAGGTTAAATGAGCCTATCTGCTGGTTGAATGGCTTTGCAAGTTGCGACTTTGGCTGATTCCATTGCTATCAAGACAGCAGCAAGCAAAACAATGGGCTCCTGTTCTCTACGCCGTCCTTTCAGGCCAGTCACCTGCAAGTGGTGGTGATAGTATCTCAGCACCACATAAGAGTTCAAGGACTCAGGCAGAGACCAGGGCCCAGGCAGAGGAAGAGATGTGTGTGCACGAAGAGGGACATGCTGGGCTCTTTGGTGGGGACCAGCCAGTCCTGGGTTGAAGAGGACAGGGAGTGACAAGGAAGAGCAACTGTACCACCACCACTGCATGGCCATGGTCAGGAATGGATCAAGTAGTCATGGTGCTCTGTCATGTGGCTTACAAGGCAGCATGCATGGGCTCAGGTCTGCTATGTGGCAATTGCTGAGAGGGCAATAGAGGCAATAATGGAGTCTGTGAGGGTTGACTGGAAGTCCATGAATTGCCTCGGGTTTGTACTTATCTTGCAGACCAAAAGCAACCTTGGCATTTCTTGTCACCTTGCAATATAATTAGAGGTGCACCAATACATCGGTCTGATATCAGATCGGCACTGATGTAAAGAAAATTGATTGTATTGGAAATCGGCCTGATGTGGATGATAATTCCACCGATAAATGTCCGTGCATGCACGCACTGCGGAGGCAGCGAGGAACACAGCCCGGCAGCGTGGAAAGCTGCATGTATCTGGTAAGTCTGTTGTGGCGGAAGGGGAGCAGGTGGGAAGGGTTGGGGGGGGGGGTGTGGATCAACATCCCCTGTGCTGAGGGAGTGGGGCAGGTGCTGCCCAACCAAGGTGGGGTGCAGGACAGCCGCAGCTTGTCTGGGGGACATGGGGGGGGCGGGGGGGCTCCTGCTGCTGCACACAATCTGGGAGGGCATGGAGGGGGGCATGTGCCCCCCGGATTGGGGTGGGGGGGCTGCTGCTGGGGCTGCATCAGGCTCTTCCCAGCACATGGGGGCTGCGCTCAGGGCAGGTGGCAGTGGGAGGCAGGCTACAGGGGGGGAGGGGTGGGCTGCAGCCACCCCAGATTTTGCCATAGCCCCCACCCAGCACCAGTGCAGCCCCCACATGTCAAGAGTCCCCGCAGTGTGGCCCCGCAGCCCCGAGCACAGCCCCCATGCACTGGGAAGAGCCTGGCACAGGTGCAGCCCCAGCCCACAGCAGTGTTCCCCCCC